TCCAGTACTGTGGAAAAGACATCGATAAAGAAAGAAAGGATGGACGTGAAGGATTGACAGTGTGGATGTGCAGGTGTGATATAGATGTGCAGATGTGTGGGTGTGGTGAGGTGGAGAGGTAGATCTGCGGATGTGAGCGTGTGAAGATGTAAATGTAGAGAGTTGAGGGGGTGTAGACGTAGATGCGTCGATGCAACGGCAGCGCAACGTCAACCTTAGCTGTGCAAGTACAGTGCTGAAGAGGTTCAAATAGAACTGAAGAACGTACATTTCACACTGAAGTTTCCACGAACAGGGCGACCTGAGAGTAAACGACGCCACGATCATGACAAGCGACTCGTGAATTCCAAGCGAACATCGTTTGTCATGAAGGTGAAGTACACACATACTTACGTCACGATGACTCTTTTGTGGCAGCCACTTATGAGTAAGCAAAGTAGCTAAATTTTGTCAACCTCTCAAGAGAGCCGGGTGGCGCGAGAGATGATTCAGCCGCGAGAGACGACCCATCCGCGTACTAAAGTTGCACTACAAAGTCGCCAGTTCTCAGCTTCCAGTTCCACAGCTTGCTCCGCGTACTAAAGTTGTACTACAAAGTCGCCAGTTCTCATCTTCCAGCTCCCCAGATACTCCGCGTACTAAAGTTGTACTAGAAAGTCGCCAGTTCTCATCTTCCAGCTCCACAGCTTGCTCCGCGTACCAAAGTTGTACTACTTAAGTCGCCAGTTCTCATCTTCTAGCTCCCCAGATACTCCGCGTACTACAAAGTCGCCGGTTCTCATCTTCCAGCTCCCCAGATACTCCGCATACTAAAGTTATACTAGAAAGTCGCCAGTTCTCATCTTCCAGCTCCACAGCTTGCTCCACCTACTAAAGTTGTACTACAAAGTCGCCAGATCTCTTATTCCAGCTCCCCAGATACTCAGTCGCCAGTTCTCATCTTCCAGCTCCCCAAATACTCCGCGCACTAAAGTTGTACTACAAAGTCGCCAGTTCTCAGCTTCCAGCTCCACAGATTGCTCCACGTACTAAAGTTGTACTACAAAGTCGCCAGTTCTCGCTCCGCGTACTAAAGTTGTACTAGAAAGTCGCCACTTCTCATCGCCGGACAGACACAAGTCGCACTCTCACCTGCATTTCGCGCACTCGACACGCTCGATCTCCGCAGAGGGTTGCCCGCGACAAAATCGAATCGCACTCTCGCCTGCATTTCGCGCACTCGACACGCACGATCTCCGCAGAGGGCTGCGCCGGACAAGTCCAAATCGCACTCTCGCCTGCATTTCGCGCACTCGACACGCACGATCTCCGCAGAGGGTTGCGCCGGACAATTCCAAATCGCACTCTCGCCTGCATTTCGCGCACTTGACACGCACGATCTCCGCAGAGGGTTGCGCCGGACAAATCCAAATCGCACTCTCGCCTGCATTTCGCGCACTCGACACGCACGATCTCCGCAGAGGGTTGCGTTTCGTGGCCGTCAGGCGGCACTGCCCCCGGCCTTAAGAGAGAAAGTTAAGAAGAGCGAGAGGTGAGGATGTGAGATGTAGATATGAGGATGTGAAGATGAGCAGAGATGTAGACGTGCAGATGTGAAGATGAGCAGAGATGTAGATGTGTGAAGATGAAGATGAGCTGAGATGTAGATGTGAGGATGTGAAGATGAGCAGAGATGTAGATGTGCAGATGTGAAGATGAGCAGAGATAGAGGTGAGAACGTGATTGTACAGAGGTGAAGATGTGAAGATGTAGAGGAGGTGTAGTTCTGCAGATGTTTTTTTACGAAGAACCCTTCGCAGACGCTCTCGGGAAAAATGAGAAAGGACGGACACACCCCGTCCTCACACATCTCCACATCGTCCTCAACAAAACGAAAAAGGACTGTTTGGACCACCTCTTCACCCCGCTACAAAAACCTCTGCTTTCCTGGCCTGGGGCGCTCTATTGAAACAGTTCTCCCACCGAAACGATTCTCTCGCATCTGTCATCTGGCGTTTGGCACCACAAAACCTCCCAAAAGACTCACTTAAAACTCCACCCAACACCCAAAACATGAATCCAACGTCACAGCCTCCCGGCACGTGTTTCATCTACCCTTTCCCTTTGGCACTTTTTGAGGCTCCGGGTCCTCTGCCTCCATGAGTTCTTTCAGCTCTGGCAACTCATTGACCTGAAAACCCCGACCAGACGACCGTGACGAGAGCGACGACCGCCACCGTTGGACGACCGCCACCGCTAAGGGGCCGTGTTGGAACGGTACCACGCGCCACAAGACCCACAGCTCCTTGCTGTATTTATTTGGAGCGTCTGGGTAGAGGGCACCAGTGAGTCAAGAGGAAGTAAAACCAGTGCTGACCAGAAGCCCAAAAACCGAACGGCAGGTATAGGACCCGGTGCTGAGGACCTGCGTGCGTTTACACCTTGGAGCCCCTATCCAATGGATGAACATCTTCAGGTCCGCCGGACTCACCCAACAGCGTCCGCCGGGGGTTGCTCAGCAGGTTCCTGTGGCAGCTGAAGTGCTCCTCTCCCCATCCCAAAGCTATTTCACGTTTTCTGGAAGACTATCTATGCACCACTAGAACAACAGTTATATATATTCTTGAAGGTTTCCAGTCTTCCATCTGCTTCACTGGAGGACGAAACTTTCATGCATCTAAGCATTAGCTGCATTAGCAGCATCAGCAGCATCAGCCAACATCAGCCGTCATCAGCTCACTGCATCACAACTTGCCCTTGGCACTTCCTGGAACGAGCTCCCCCACAATGACCTCCTTCGCACTCAAGGCTTGCCGCCGGCCTGGAAACCGCACTCACGAACGTGTTGGACATCCATTGTGGAATTGGGACTTGCTTCGTCATGAGATCAACCGTCAACCATCGGAAGGTCCTGGTTGAGTGTTTAGCATGAGCCCTTCGTGAAGGGGTGTCCATTCACCACCAAAACGATGCAAATATCATCAAATGATCAAAGATCGTCCACCGAACAGACCGTATCCGACCCCCTCCTCTAGTCATCTGGAGCTCTGGGGAAGGGAAGGGTCTAGCCTGCACCCCTGGCTTTGGCGCCTCGTCTCGATTCGCTGCAGGATCCGCTGGTGCTTCCCAGATCCGGTTCACCACTCTCGGGGCATCCGGTGACCCGAAGGGAGGTCCCAAACCCACCTGACCCTAAGGGAGGCCACTTAGAGACAAAGAGGTCACGAACTGAAGGTCCTTGGTTTAGACTGTCTGGACTCCTGGAAATGTCCACTCCAAATGCCCCGAAATCGGCTCAAAATCGCTCAGCTCCGCTCAGCCCGCCCCGCTCCTAGCTCCGTGAGGTCTGGTCCAAGGCCGTAGCCTGCACTCGCCCAGCCGGGGGGGGGGTGAAGATGTGGAGGGTCAAAACCATGACCGGGCCGCCCATCTGACACACCAGCACCGCCCCGCCTCGGTCCCGGCATATCTGCCCATGTTTTGGGGTACCCCGGATCGATGGGATCCATGACCGGTCCCTCCAAATCCCCGAAATCGGGCTCCTCCACCTCCGTTTCGGTTCGATGGGGGGGTCGGGTGGACGGGTGGACAGGAGGGGTCGAATACCACCGACACCTGAGGAGGTGGGACAGCCCGAAAAATCGAATTCCTTGGTGTCCGAAACCCCCACGTCCAGAGAACTGTCCAAACGATTCGGGTTCGAAGGTCTAGAGGATTCAGGGGCCGGTCTTGGGTCGCATCTGGGTAGGAGTGCCCTGAACATCCAAACTCCAACCCTGAAGGTGAAGTTCACATTTTGGATCCTTTTGGGGGCTGGACCAGAGCTGTTTCATGCGATCAGTGCCGTAAAAACCAAACAAAAATGCACCACGTGTTCACCACTCCCACCACTTTCACCACGGTGGTTCCGCGGCTCCTTCGGGCTAGGCTGCCGGACCTTTCGGATGAACATAACCCTTGAGCTGATGTTCACCCTGCAGCCGGTGACACAGCAGGGGAGGGTGTTCTGCAGCCGAAAGTGAACCATCTATCAACTTCGTTGGTTTGGAGGGAGCGACATCGTTGTAAACTGGTGATGCTTCTAGGATGATATCTGATTCCAGTTGCTACCTGAACAGAATCTATAAATGTCTAGCTCCAGCTTGGAAACGGACATCTCCAGCCAGTTCGTTCGCATGAAAAAAAATGACAAAATGGCTCACACTGAGGCGGATGAGCAGCCCTGGAGCTGCAACGACACCCTGGGGCCTCGCCATGGCGGACCACGTAGACCCGCTTCCCACCATCGATCTCCGCACGGGGAAGCGCGGGACGCACGGCGCGCGCAGCACGTGGGGCGAAGGGAACCCTTCTCTCTCTCCTCTTCCGGTGGACGCGACATGAACATCAACTGGCTGGGGATTCGGTTCAAAAGAAGACCAGAGCGGCCTTGCCAGGTTCAAAGCCGTGTGAAGTGGATCAGGGCCGATCAACCCGTGAAGAAAGCCTTGTGAGGCTTCTCAGCTGGGTGATCTTCCCTGCCAGCATAGGCACTAGTCGGATGAGGGTCTTCAAGACAAAGCTCCCCTGCACCCATCACCACAAACAGGGTTGGTGATTTGCTGCACAAGGAAGGGTTTTCCATGGGAAGAGAGCCCTGACACCCCTTTCAAAACAGGGTTTCATCCCCTCTCGATTTCCCTGATACGCTTGTTGATCTCGGGCAACCCCCGTCTCACAGGTTTCACTCATGTCGCCTTGCGTCCAGATCTCTCTTGTGACACCAAACCCTTAGGATCCAGGATCCACATACCTTGAAGGCACGACCGGACTCTCCATGCCTGTGTCAAAAGGTCTCCAATCAGCATCAATGGAGAATGGCAGGATCCCAAACGCGAATGAATGGAAACCAACCTCAACAGCTGTTCTGAGGCCTTCCACCAGGGTCTCCGGGTCTCTTCCGGGTCTCTTCCACATTTCAGGGGGCTCCCACGCCCGACCCACCCGACCCCTCCGGCACGACCCCCCCCCCCTCCTCGCGCCTTGCGGCGCTTGGCCTCCGGCGGCGGGTCCGGCAGCTCCGTCTCCAAGAGGCCGAAGGGGTTGGGCCCCAGCAGGTCCAAGGCCGCCAGCGGGTCGAAAGGCGGAGGCGTCGGCAGGGCCGCTTGAGCGGTCTCGAAGGAACGCTCAAACATGCCCAGCAAGCTGGAGACCTGGAGGAGGAGGAGGAGTGGGCACCACCCAGGAGGAGGAGTGGCTGTTGAGGTCCAAAAGCACTCAAAGGGTGGCTTTTTGCTTCGATGGTTCTGTGATTCGCTGCAGTCCAAGGTCGTTTGTTTCCAGAATTGATCTTCACAAGCGGACAGTGTCAAGGTTGAAAAAAATCATGGGAGGGAGGTGCAACAAATCCAGGCCGTAATAGTCCCCCCTCTACAAAGGGTCAGGCTGCATGCAAACAAAAAGAAACCAGTCTGAGAAAACAAGCTTGCTTTAAAAAAGGGGCGCAGGGTTCTTGTTACAAAACTAATCTCTAAGGGTTCCATGCCGCTTTCCGACTGCGCAGGCCTTGTCTGGAGGTTTCGTGGCAACTTCCGGAGCCTTCGCGTCAAGCGCGGGTGCCTGCGCACGCGGGAAGGAGGGAGGAAGGGCAGCCACCTCCGTGTTGGTCGAACGGAAGCAAGTGGGGACCACTTCCAATACCCTTATCGTGGATCGTGGGGGATTGTTCAGGGATCGTGGGCTCCCCCCAACCCCCAGCCACGGACCAATTTTCCACCTTCTTGGCACCTATTTCGACTTGCTAAAAGGAAAAGGAACAAAGATCGACCTCCTCTGCAGCAACCAGGCCTACTTCGCTTCGAGGATCAATCCTATGATCAGATCTTGGACACCAAGCCTGTGGATCCGCATACCTTCTGAGGTACGGTGGTTGGAGACACTGTTATGATCTGTTATGTAGCTTTGGAGGGTCCAAGTATATACCTTCTGAGAAGGTATGCGGATCCCTAGGGCAAGAGTTCTCGCCCCAATGTGGAGTGTTAACCACTGACGAACCGCCAGGGCTTGTAAAAAGCATACCATACCATCACGTCTGGTACCTGCAGGCCCCCAAAACGATGAGCCTTCGGCCTTGCCCCTGTATCTAAACTATACCAGGACGAGTGACCCCTGAAACAGGGAGCAAAACGGTGGCTGGGCTCCGATCAAACCGGGGTCAAATTAGGTGGTTCTTCCATGGTTTTGTCAAGGAGCACCATCCCAGGAAGGGAGAGGACACTGACAGCACTCGAAGCTGACGGCTTTCCGCACCTCTGGGATCTCAGCATTTCCCAGTACCTCTACCAGGGAGGCCAAAAAACTCAGGGATCCCTCACCGTTGAAACATCTTGTCGGCACACGTCAGGATCCTTGAAGAAGGTGGTGTTTGGTCCCTAACAAGTTCGAAGAAACTCGTCACTACAAGGGCCGGGCCTAGGGCCGGGTGCATTCCGCCAATTCCGGCTGCGTTCGCTGTGTCCAAAGCTAAGAATGTACCTGGACCTTCACTGCCAGGTCACCACCGACCACTGTGGTTCACCACCTTTATATAAGTCTGCAGAGGTCACCAGTTCGCAGACCTGTAGAACTGTAGAGTCAGGTGAAGGATAAGCTTCAACTGGCTTGCACGGACTCACGCTGCACGGACTCGCTGCACGTCCGAAGGCACACCGGAGGGACGGGCGGGGGGTTTTCCTCCGATCTGTGGAAGGCCAAATCTGAAGAACCAAAAGTCTCTTACACCAGCAACCGCAGCCTTGCAAAAGGGATACACCAACTATACATAAATGGTGCTTGATCAAGATGATCAAGACTGCTTTGGAGGCCCCTTACTTTGCAATCTATTCTGGGGTCACTGTAGCAGAAAATGAGGTTTATTGTGACAGTCTCCACAAGGCGTTCGTGCAGTAAGACATGTGTGTGAGTTGGGAGGTCAGCTTAGCGAGCTCCATGTCCGTCATCAACGCTACAGCCATGCCAGGCAACCAATAAAGTATAAAGATAACCATCCCTAATTTGCCTTAGGCTGGCTCTGAATTCACTTGTATACTTAGGTATGTAGACAGCAATCCCTCAGTTGCTTATCAGTACGTCCCAGTCAGGCGACTCTTTGCTTCGTTGTTTAAACAAAACATTTATATAGTCGTGCAAACCCCCCCCGCCTGCAGCATGTCAGGCACAGCTGGCGGCTCAGCCGGCTCGGCAGGTGCCTCTGCGGGCGCTGCCTCGGCGGGCGCTGCCTCGACAGGCCCGGCCTCGGCGCAGCGGGAGCGAAGAAAAAAGCAGCCAGGACCCTCCTGTCGGTGTGTCTATTTACGCGATTTATAGCCCCGAAAAGCTGTGAGTCGGGGTGTGAAAAAAAGAAAACACCCCCCCAGTTGGGGGTGCTGGAGGGAGTCCACCCTGCCTCAGGTCAATCCCTTCGGAATCCATGGACCTCCCACCACGCGCCTTCACGTCCACCTCGAGCCCCGGCGACCGGGCACGCTCCTGCGGGCACGCTCCGTGCTTCAGCGCGCACGGTTTTCCGCTCCGAGAAGGTCCGAAGAATGCACGTGGAGAGGGGCGGGTTGGGAGAAAGGAGGTGATTGCCAAAGCCAAAATGGCCACCCAGGGGCCAGGTACACAACCCGGTTCTTCCCCTGGCCCTGGTTTGAGGTCGCAAACAGGACTGTACAAGGTCACTGGCTGGGACTTCCCAAAGGTCACGAACTGAAGAAGCTGGGAGATGGCAATAGGGATGGGAGTTCTTCTTCTTCTTCTTCTTCTTCTTCCAAACAGGATGTTTTTGTGTCCCAGCACTCTGAGACGGTTGTGAGTTCAGGCTCTTGAAGCCTTTCCACTTCTGCGGAAGGTGCCCCTTCACGAAGATCCATCTTCTTCATGTGCCCTCGTGAAAATCCCACTTCCTCCACGAGTTCGCCTCACGAGTCCGACCAACTCCGCCCGGCCCAGACCGTGGGCCGTGGGCCTTTCGTTTTTGGGCGGCAGACCTCATCACCCTCCGCCGCCACCGGCTTGCTGCTGCCCACGGCGCCCGCATCCGCCACCTCGCCCGCCGTGGTCGGCGAGGCGTCGGCGTCGGCGTAGGCAGAGAGGAGCCCGTTGAGCGGTGCCTCTTCACAGCACATCGGCCGCAAGTCCGGAGTGACGAAGCGACGCGAAGGGCCAGGAGGTCGAAGCCAAATCGGATTGTCCGATCGAACCGATCGAAGCTGAAGGACCTCTCCTTTTGGACCAACCACCCAAAATAGGTGATCTTTTCCTATCAAAACCAGGGGACATGTCTGGGTTCGAAGAAGGAAGACAAGACTCCGACGTCGACGCGCCTCCGCCGCATGAGGCTTGGCCAGGGCTTTGGCGGTCGCCGCCCCCAGTGCCCCACCCGGCCCCAGCCCGGCGGGCACGTCGCCGCTGAGCGGCAGTGGCGATGGCACACTCATGCGCAACGGCCAGTGAAGTGGGAACCAAAACGAAGTGAACTTCGACAGGTTTCGAAGTGGTGCGATGCTGAGATATGCTATGCCGATCTCTTGAGCTGCCCAAAGATTTTTGTTAAGATTGACATCGTGTTCTGGAGTTGTACGACCCTGTAAATCTCGCATCCGTCAATTCAAACCAGCTGCCTTCCGCTTCCAAAACTTCGGGAAAGAAGTCCCTTCTTGAGGTCTGGGTCATAAAGCTCCACCCCAAACAGCTCAAGAATAGATGCCTCCATTGCTTAATGGTCCTTTTTTGCGACCACTCCAAGTCAACTGACCACTCTGTCCTTTGCAGAGGCTGGCGAGGAACCGAGCGCAAGTTCATCGGTCGAAGAAAAAGCACCAGTTCGGAGCTCGGAACCACCCAAACTCCGACGCCGCCAATCTCAGAGAGTCTGGACTTCTGCGCCGACGCCGCTTCACCACGGAGCAGAACCCCTTCGACCCCCAAAAGTTGGCGGAGACCGCCCACCTGTCTCCCTGGACTCCGAACGGAAAGGTCTCGAGCCAGAAACTACGAACGGGGTGCTCCTGGCCATACGAGTCACAAGAAGCTACGAACGGAACAAAGGGCATCGCGGCATCGCTACGGAGCAAGAAAAGCTACGAACGTCGCAATGTAATTGGTTCCTGTTTCTCGCACCTGGTCTCCGCCCCCCCCCAAGAAACGACCCGACCTCCCTTTCCGACGCAACCAACCTCCGGATCACGGTGGCACTGGGTGAGACCCGAACACCGAAAGGCTTGTGTTTCGGCGAATCGGCGGAATCTGCGGAATCACAGAACTGGGGATCCAAGAGGAGATCGGTGCCGGTGCACACGGTGTGACCTTCAACGTGAAAAGGATGGAAACACGACGCGTTGGGCGTTGGGTGGTCATATATTCGGAGACCGCCATGACGCAGAAAGAGGTTGAAACAAACAAACGAACTGTCCGCTGGAGGAATCAGAAACGCAGTAAACGCTGGAAGAAGGAACATCTGCTCCGCACGTTCGACGGAAGTTGTCGAACGGCCCCAGGCTGGTTCTATCGACAAATAACGGTATGGTTCTATCGACAAATAACGGTAGGGTAGGGTCCTTTCTTCATTTAGTTGTGGAAGATCAACGGACAGGGCCATCCGTGGAGGACCATGGCCAGCGATGTTAACATTTCTTCGCTGTAAAGCCTAGGACATATGCCAACTTGATGGTGTATCATTACGTCACGGTCATTCTAGCCCTTCAGCTTCAATCCAGTTGGAACTACCTGCAGCTTCTCATCTTGGGATAGGTTCTTCATAGGGATCTTGGAGTCCATGAAAGTAGGCTAACCGCTCGGGAAGATGAACAAAACATGGAAAATATGACATCTTGCATCTTGGAGTTGTTGCTGTTTATCCTCAAGGCCCTCAGATGAAGACGGGAGCACGGAGCACGCTCTTGGGAGTCTCCTGTCGGTTCGATTGGAGGCTCATCTGGTTGCTGTCTGCATCGCGTTTGGCATCCTGCTCCATCCACCCTCAAGACTCAGAAGTTGGCTCAGCCCGTCAGCCAGAAGAGCACCAGTGCCAGAAGAGCACCTTGGAGAACAGAGAAATCACGCCCGGTCTGGATAGACCTGGTGTCGTTTTGTTCTCTTAAGATCATTGGTTGGCTCCATGTAGCTTCCTCTTTGAGGTCTTGCTGGAATATGTTTGAACACGTTTGAACCC